TCCAGCATTCTGACTTTCATGAGCGCTAGGTGCATTTGCTTTCCTGGGCCCCTTCCTCCATTAAAAGAAAATAAAATATTGTATTTTATAGCTATACTGGCATAAAGATGATTATGATCCAGGCTGAATTCAGTGTTACATATCCATTACTATTATTGTTGTTGTTGTTGTTATGTGCATTGTTTTCTTATGATTTAAAAGAAATGAAATGAAAACGTTTGTGTGGACCCCTGCAAGTGCCATGAGTGCCTGATGGGTAGGTCGGCCGTGGCTGTGTGCTGGGTGTGGAAATGCGAAGCGTGCTCTGAAGAATGGTAGAAAGAACTCAAGTAACTGGAGAAGGATTTTAATGAGTGCGTGGGCGTATGGAACTGGAATGGAAATTACTCCAACTGCCCAGTGAAGGGAGCGTGAAGTTCAGAAAAGCAAGCTGTGTGGAGAGAGCCTCGAAAACCTGCCCAAGGCACAGCAGAGCCCAGTGGGGGAAGGATGGGATTAAGGGACGACAGGACTTGAGCCAGTGTGAAGGGTTAGTGCCCGGCCAGGATAATGCTTTCTTTCACGCATGGCAAAATGGGAAAAAAGGACAAGGTAGTAAGTTATTTGTAAGGCTAAATTTATTTAAGTCTTGTCCTTTTTATGTAATTAGATTCCTCATAATTTAGAAGAATTATTGGGCTTTAGACATGTCTTTATAATGAAGTGAAGGTCTTAGTAGATACCCACCCACCCTTCCTTCCTTCTTTCCTTCCTTCCTTCCTTCCTTCCTTCCTTCCTTCCTTCCTTCCTTCTTTCCTTCCTTCCTTCCTTCCTTCTTTCCTTCCTTCCTTTTCTTTCCCTCTCTCTCTCTCTTTTTTTTTATTCCCCAGAGGGCACGTGTGCTCATCAGAGAGAAAGGGAAAGCAAGAAAGCACCCTCACAATGGGACATGATCACACCACAATCCCCTCTCCATTTCTCCATCTTGTTGGGATTTGGGGCATGCACGCATATGCACTCAACATGTTTCTCAAGCCCCCAGCTGGGATTCAAACCTTGGTCACTCGTGTAGCATCTGGCTCCCTCAACTTCTAGGCTACAGGGCAGGCCTAGATAGTCATTTCTTTTAATGTCTTTACTTAGCAAAATAAAAGTGACAGTCATACATTAGCCTCAAACATTACTTCAAATGTGTGTTGGTCCACAAATCCAAAGGTGTTTAGGTCACTGTCGTAGGGAATCTCTTGCCCTGTGGACAAGAGCCTGAGTCCTCAGTGGCCCTAGCGGTATGCCAGCCACATCACTTAGGTTCAGGACTCCTGACATCCCTCTGGGACCCAGGTCCCTCAGTTCTAGGTGACAGGCCCTTTCCCTCCTGCTGTTACCTGCCTGTTTCTCTCCCCTCCAGTTCCACAGTGGTCGCTATTATCTTTTACCCATGTCACACTGGCTGCTTACCTTTGTCCCCCTCTCTTTCTGAATGAGAATGGTGTCACAGTTCAGAGTAAGATTCAAGAGGTGGTCATCGCAAGAGAAAAAGGAAAGTTTTTTGAGAAAGAGCACCCAGGGGTCTGAAGCCAGAGGTGCTTCCGTCTGCCCGTCAGAAAAGGGGGATCCTACAGGGCACCGGATGGGGCTGATCTGGGAGACTGTAGGTCACATTTTGCACATACCGAATGTTTTGTGGTTTTGTTTCAATTTGGGCTGTCAGCGCCTGTGCTTGTTTTGTGTCCTGTGCACTGCTCTCTGGATCAGGGTGACCTTGCAGTGGCAGTGCCTGGAATGTGGGCCCCTGCCAAGGCTGGGTCTGCAGAGGTCCAGCCTTGGCTCTTTGTCAGGCCTGGAGAGACCCCAGGCAGTGCTCAGAAGAGCTTTACCAAATGTGATCTTACAAGTGGGACTTCTGCTACTACAACAAGGTGACAATTATAGAAACCAACCTGAAAGGCATTATAAATCTGACTCTCCAACCTATAGGAGATTGCTTATGCCTTCCCCCATACACACCATGTCAGAGCTCAGGGTTCATGGAAGAGAGCCGGCCTGTGAGCCTGCCTATGATCTTAGTCCAGGGAAGCAACCCCAGGCTACCTCATGGTATCAACGTACTAAGTGAGCACAGATGGGCGACCTCGCAGACACATGCCCGTGGGAAGGTCTGGAAGCAGAAAGACTGGGGAGGAGGCTCTTATGATGCTCAAGGCAAAGGGGATGAAGGCCCCAGGTAGTGGCAGGGAGGACAGAGAAGAGGGGCCGTGCTCAGGTGACTCAGAGTAAATGAGGGAAGCGGTCTTAAAGAGACGCGTGTATCCGTGAGTCCCTTCCGTGTAACAGCAGTAACACCTGACCTCACTGGCCGTTTGAAATTGTGCTCTCTATTATAGCTCTCCTACGTATCTGGACTCACTTTCCAACTTTTCCTTATCCAGTTGACTTTGTGATACTTTGTAAATTCATGAATATTGCTCGGTGCAAGGTGCCAAAGAATTTTACATATTACCTTTAGTCTTGCAGGAATCACGAACAATCCTGTTGATGCCAGACAAAGTTTGTTTTAAAAAAAGAATTATTTATTTAATTTAATTTATTCATTTATTTATTTTCATTTGACCAGAGAAAGACAGAACACAGAGAGAAGGAAAGCTAGAAAACAAGCCACCGGGTCCGGGACTCACACCATGGTTGGCCATGTGGGAGTGTCTAGTGCCTTAACGACCATACCACCTGCTGGCCCCCAGATGGGTAAAGTTTGAAAAGTTTTTTTGGTTTCTCCTTGAAGTTCCTCACGTCAGTGGAGCATTCCTAATTCATTGCCACTGAGTGTTCTCTTATTCAAAAGTCCCATTTCCAATCCCACCACAGCATGAGTGTAATCCAACAACTCATTAGGTACTACGTTGTCAGTGCCACAAACTCACCAGTGCTGCAAGTTATGAAGGGGAGGGACCGAGAGGCACAGCCATGGCTCATCAGAACCTGGCTAGAAGTCCTAAGATGACCATACTTACTATTTCCTCTCAGTATTGCGTTTTAACTGAATAGAATAGTTGAGTAATGTAGTAAATCAGAAGTGGGCCTCAACAGTCAGTCGCACAATGGCAGAACACCGTGCTCTGCAAGACTGACCATGTGGGAAGGTTCTGGGTTGGCCACTAGAGACTTACTTCCCCTGGAGTACATCTGGTAGGCACAGACGGTACTATCTCCTTGTCTCTGTCTCTCTGTGTCTCTTTCATTCATGAGAGAAATGAATAAACTTAAAGAAAATCAGAAGTTGGCCAGTAGGTGGTGTGGAGGTTAAGGCAGCTGGATCCCACATGACTGACTGCGCAGTTCGAGTCCTAGACCAGGCAGCTTGAAAGACATACCAGGTGCATGTGCATGCATGCCTAAAATTCCGAGAGGAGACTGGAGAAGGGATTGCAGGGTGGCTAATCCCCCTGGGGAGTGATTTCTCCCTTTTCCTCTTTCTCTCTCTGTCTGATGAGTGAGTGTGCCCTGTAGCAATCTAAAAATAGAAATAAAAAAGTAAGGATAACATGATTTATAAAAGAAAAACAGAAGTACTGGTTTCCAGCTTGATCCAGCCCCGTGACCCACTTACTGCTTGTGTGATGAGCCTGGGCAGGAACTGACCGTGAGCTGCCCCAGGGGCTGGCAGTGCTGCCAGGCAGGGTTCTGGTGAGAAGTAAAGGAGCACATCTAAAATGCGCATGGCCTCAGAGGAAAACCGTTCTTGACTCTGCTTTCCACGGCTTGAAGTCCAGAGACCATGGCCATGTGTTCTAGCCTGAGGTCTTTCCTTCCTTCTCCAGGGTACTGTGGGTCGTTCTAGGACAGTATACTTCCCCCCCTTTCTCTGCCCGCTGGGTTTCTAGTGCCCACATACTCTGCCTCGTTAAATTGGTCACATGAAGGGCTGGCAGATGGTATAGGGGTTATGTCGTTGTACTCCCACGTCATTCACTGTGGTTTGAGTCCCAGACCCAGTGGCTGAAAAACTCACAACAGGTGCATGCGGGCCCAAGATCCCGAGGAGAGAATGGAAGAGAAGGGATTGTAGCATGATCATCCTCCCTGGGGGGTGATTTCTCACTTTTTGTCTCTCTGTCTCTCAGGTGAGCACACATGCCCTATAGCAAAAATCTCTCTAAAGAAAAAAAAAATCAGTCACATGAGTTATCTCATGTCTTGGTATCAAATAGAGGCCTATGTTTAGTTAAATCAATCCAAGAGTCCTTTCTTTAAGTCAGTTTTTTTTTTAAGATTTATTTTTATTTATTATTATTATATTTGACTAGAGAGAGACATGCATAGAAAGAGCGTGAGGAAGCAAGCAATCCCACAGGTCTGGGATTCGAACTGTGGTCGATCGTGTGGGAGTCCAGCACCTTAACCACCACATTACCTTCTGGCCCCCTTTAAGTCAGTTTTAAAAATAATAATAATAATAAGGGTCATCACCTGAGAGGCCGGAAGCTGCATAGGAGGCCTGGGTTCGGTTCCCAGGACAACCTGAATCTACACCCTTGGGAAGCTGGGGCAGGTTGATCATGACACAGTGAGAAACGCCTGTCAGAAATGCCCGTTGGGCCAGCTCTGTGGCTTGGTGATTCAGGCAGCCAGAATCCACATAGCCAACCCTCAATCTGAGGGCCTGGCAGCTTGAGAAACATACCAGACACATACATGTGAATGACCCAAATCCTGAAAGGCTGGAGAAATGGAGAAGAATAGTTGCAACATGACAACACCCCACAGGGGATGCTTTCTCCCTCTTTACCTCTCTGTCTCTCTGCCTCTCTGTCTCTCTTTGGCATGGGTATGTTTCTTCTGGGCAAAACTTAGGAAAATAAGAAACTATGTCTGTCTGTCTCCCCTTCCCTGTCTCTCTTTCTCATAAAGGGCATACATACATACATACATACATACATACATACATACATGTGTAAGGCTGTGTTATGTGTGTTTCCTAAAGTTTCTGATGCACCTGTGATCTATGTTCTGTTTGTTTTCTGCAGATAGTAGCTCCTCAGGGAAGAACAGGAAAGAGAAAAATTATATTTTTGAGCCAAAGAGTGATCGAGGAGGGGAACACCCCGCCCCAGAAGCAGGTAAGTGTACCCGTGGGAGCTCCCGCAGAACAGGCCCTGCAGAACTGCACGTGCTCTAGTCAGGGCGTCCACACAGCCATGAGGACATGGACAGGAGCCACGGTCTGCGGCCACACGTCTCTCCCATGTCTCACTGCATTGTGGCACTCCTGGTGGCAACTCTTAGCATCTTGCTTTCCTCTGGTACACACCCTTCAGGTGTGACATTTTGTGGAGAAGGTCCTGGTTGTGGCAAAATGGTTAAGAACATGGGTTCTGGGGACCGGCAGGTGGCATGGTGGTTAAGGGTGCTGGACTCTCACATGGCTGACCACAGTTCACATCCTGGACCTAATGGCCTGCTTTCTCACTTTCCCTCTCTCTCTCTCTCTCTCTATCACTCTATCCCTCTCTGGTCAAATTAAAATAAATAAGATAAATAAAATGAAGTGAAATCATTTTTAAAATATAAAAATAAATAAAGAACACAGGTTCTGAAGTGAGATGCCACAGTTCAAATCCTGGCTTCCCTCCCTAAACTCTGTGCTTTTGAATGGGTTGTGACCTAATATCTCTGATCGCAATTTCCTCCTTAGTAAAATGAGGATATAATTACACCTGCCTCATAGAGCCGTTAGACAGGGTAAGGGGGGCGAGCAACACAAAGCATGGGGTGCGCTGCTTGGCTTACACAGTTTGCCAAGTATAAAAGTGGTGGCCATTAGTGAGTTATGGACGATGCGAGAATGAAGGCCCTGGAGTGCCCGGTTCTCGTTCCAGGTGCTCCACTAACAGACAGAAGAGCACTGGAATGAGAAGAGGGTTTAGGAAGTAGAGGGAATATTTACTAAGTAGAAAAAAACAAATACATAAGTCCATAAATCTGGTTGTTTTTCACTAGAAAGAAAACTTTGAACATAATTCTGTAGAAAGGCAGGTATTTGTCCTGACTGCTACAAACTAATGAATAAAAGAAGCTTTAGGAGCACAAGATAGGATTCTTAAATTATAGATCTAAACTTTGAAAAAGCTTTCTTTTCACCAAAGAGTATTCTTTGTAACCTCTGGACAATATTAAAATGTAATTTTTAAACAACAGATGGCTCAGAACAATCTAGATGTCAAGCATCTGGATATGTGAATCTGGAGAGTAACCTGTGATTACAATGCAAAGTTGTCAGACTGGCTGATGCAGTTTGAGATAAGGGTGGTCTTAACCTCCACCCCATCTGCTGGCCCAGCCCAGACCTTAAAACCAAATTCTGTGCCAGGTTCCCACAAGATCGGTATGGCATGCAATACAGGGTCCCACAGGTTTCCCACAAATCAAGGTGGGGAGCAGGCAACATGCTGGAGGCATGCATGGACATTGTACAGATCTTGTGGGAACCTGTCATAGAATTTTTTTTTTTAAGAGATATGTATGTTATAGAGCCCATGTGCTTGCTGGAAACACAGAGAGACAGAAAGCAAAAAAACCCCAGGGGGATGGCCATGCCACGATCCCTTCTCCTCCATTCTTCCCTTGGGATTTTGGGCACATATGCACATGCACCTGGCATGAGTTTCAAGCTGCTGGGTCCGCAACTTGAACTGTGGTCAACTATGTGGGAGTCCAGCAACATAATCATTGCACCATCTGCTGGCCCCTAGAATTTGGTTTTAGAGAGGTCTGGGCTTGGGCCAGCAGATGGGGTGGAGGTAAAGACAGTGGATCTTACATGGCCAACTCTGTGGTTTGAATCCTAGGCCTGGCCCAGCAGCTTGAAAATCATGCTGGGTGCATATGCATGCATGCCCAAAATCCCAAAAGGAGACTGGAAGAGAAGGGATTGTGGTGTGGCCACCCTTCCTGGAGGGTGATTTCTCACTTTCCCTCTCTCTCTCTCTGGCAAGTGTACATGCCCTATACCAAAATTTAAAAATTAAATAAAATTAAATAAAAAGAAATAAGAAGAAGGTCCAGGCTTGAGACCTAGACTACCACCTACAAGCTTTGTCCTCTTAGGCAAATTGTTTAACCTTTCTGCAATTTAGTTCATCTGCAAGATGGTGGTAGTACTAGTACTGGTCTAATTGAGCTGTTCAGGTGAAATAAAACAGTGCGTGCAAGTGCGAGCCACGTAGCAAATAGTAGCAGTCACTTATTCATCAGGGACTGGACTATTCACGCTGTCCGTTTCTCTCCTGGTCACAGGCGCGGTGCTGCCCTTGGCCCTGGGCTTGGCCATCACTGCTGTGCTGCTCCTCATGGTTGCGTGCCGACTACGACTGGTGAAACAGAAGCTTAAAAAAGCTCGTCCCATTACTTCTGAGGAATCCGACTACCTCATAAATGGGATGTATCTATAAGTGTAGTTCAATAGCGAAGGGCAAGGACATGTTTCCCTTTTCATTTATACGTATAGTAGGTCTGGATATCGACTTCTTTTGGTTTTAATTGGGCTAGAAGAGCCTACAAATCCCAAACCTTTGTCTGTATTGTTTATTGTAGAAAGAATTTTCTCTAGGGAGTAGCCACGGTGCTGCAGATGGGAGGGTGCCACTGCTCAGTGCCTGGAGCCACATGGCTGACTTGGTTCGGTTCCCAGCCCTGTCTTGGGCTGGAGCATGGTGGTGCATACCTGTGGTCCTGGCTAAAACAGGAGGCCAGGGCAGGAGGATCACACTGCAGTGAGGCAAAATCATGTCAGAACATACTTCTTTATCTCCCTCCTGAGTGCTTGTGTGCACTTGTGTGTACTCACGCACTCTCTCTTTCACTCACATTTAAAAAAAAATAAAAAAGATTTTTCCTGAGAAAATATGTGAAATATTTTTAACTTTGGAGAGAAATTCCTATGTTTAAAGACTTTAACGAATTGAATTCTGATTTATAGACACTGTCCCTGAAAATAGGAATGTATACTTAGCCGAGGCAGAAAATTCAGTATCTCCAGAGATGGTCTTAAGGATAGCAGTATTGCTCTTAGCTTTTCAGTAGCCACCAGCTGCCCCGGGATCACTGGGCCACTTCAGACACGGCCTCCCCTTGTTCCCTAGCCCTGTTCCTCCTTTAAGTCCTCAATGCACCTTTTCTCGTCCCCTTCGAAACTTGTTTCTGAGAATGGATCTCGATGACATAACACCTTCAAAGAGATGTCACCATGGCAGGTAGATCCAAATGATCAATCTTAGGAGCAGGCCAGTGAGGTCTCTGGGAAGATGAGTGCGGTCTCCTCCCAAGGCCTCCAGCATCAGGCCATGAAGGCGGCTGCCTCCTTAGGTAGCCTTGGAAGACAAAACCCTGGATTTGGATTTCAAGCAGCTTTAAGCCGCTCGTGAGGTGGGACAGGAGATGAAGGTGGGAGCAGGCAGCCTGCTGGAGGGCTGGAGATTTGTACAGAGATTTAGCTGAGGGCAAGTGAGCAAGGATGATGGCGCCTTGTCTCTACTCAGCTCATGCCACGGTCAGAAACAGCACCTCCCTGACGTGGTCACTGGATTAGAACATTAGCCTTTGACGATGAAAGAGAAAAAGGCCAATTGAAAGTGCAACGTTGGGTAGATTTCTGGATCAGGCTTTTGTAAAAATGTCACCATGTTTTAAATCTCAGCAGGTTCTTTCATCCGGTGGAATGATCCCCTTTTTATTATGTTTTAATGCTATAAATGTTATAAAGTGCTGTCAGCTGGCACAGATTTATGTATTTCTAGAGCAAAAGGTGTTTTGGCACAAATTTATCTTTACAGAAAACCGGCATCTTTCCTAGCATTTTTTACCTTTTAATTTATAGGATTCAAAGGCAAATCATCCCCATTACCAAGTAATGCCAGGATTACACATATTCTAGAAATTCCGCTACTGAAGAATGTATCGTGAGGAACCTGTCTTCACTCACATGATAGTCCTATTTCCATAAAGAAAACATAAGTGGCAAATCTTTTAAATACTGAAAAAAACACTCTAGAGTCTAGTGCACTTTATTTCAGACCGAACCTAAAGTAGGTTGTTCTTTTAGCAAAGGGCTTTATTTGGGTGGTAAGATATAAATATATCAAAATCCAACACATGGCAAGTTAGTTCTAGAAAAACAAAACAATCTGGTAGTGTTTTTGTCTCCTGAGAAATCCAGCATTTTGTAGAATGTTTAGAACTGAGCAAAGATTTAAATTTCTCAAGGGCAGCTTAGAGAAATGAGCTGTGTGAATGATCTTAAGGTGTTTTATTCTATCTGTGATGCTGAGCAGTTTGTTTTCCTATAGAAGGAGGTCACTATAGCCATACCTAATAAAATGAAAACGGACAAGGCATGCATCATTCAGCCATCTTTGATATACGGGGAAATTAAACACAATTTAGTATTGCTATGGTGTTAAAATACTTAGAAAAAGATGTCTCATATCTATGTAAACACACTCCTTTAATAAATTGTATTTTATTCTTAAGCTTTTTTTTTTAACCATTTAATATAAGTTGCCAAGATTGACTGAGCTGTTCCTATATTATTTGGATTTAGTCATATATATATATGTGTGTGTATATATATATATATATTTTTTTTTTTTTTGCTAGAATATACATGCACTTGCCAGAGAGAGAGAGAGAGAGAGAGCAACGGGAGAAAGTTCTCCTCGTTCCCTGCCCTGAGGATAGTCAGTCATAGTCCCCTCTCTGCCATCTCTCCCTCCTTTCAGGGTTTTGGGGCTTGCACGCCCAGTGCCAGTGTGTTTCTCAAGTCCCCTGGTCTGAGACTTGAACTGCACAGTCAGCCATGTGGATCCACCCTCTTTAACCACCATGCTATGGAGCTGCCTCCAAACCTGTGTTTAAAGGAGGAAATAGAGGATTAGAGAAAAGTGGCTTGTCCAAGGCAATGTAAGTTACACTGGAGAGAAGGGGAACCAGATCTACAGAACATTTATATGATCAGAGAGACCGAAGGAGGCTTTTTTTTCAATGCACTATATGGCACATGTGCTCACAGGAGAGAGAGAGAGAGAAAGCGCCCCCAGGGGCACAGCCACACCACAGTCCCTTTTCCTCCATCCTCCTTTCGGGATTTGGGGAACACATCCACTTGTGCCTAGTGTGTTTTTCAAGCTGCTAGGTCCGAGACTTGATTTTGTGGGATCCAGCCACCTTAAACACTGCATCACCAGGGAGGCCAAAGAGGACTTTTAAAAGTCATACTGGGGAACAGCAGGTGGCATGGTGGTTAAGGCACTGGACACTACCACGTAGCCAGTCGTGATTCGAATTCCAGTCCCAGTGACTTTGTCTCTATCTCTGTGTGTGTGTGTGTCTAGTCAAAATAAAATGAATAAATAAATAAAATTAAATTTATTTTTTAAATAATTATTTTATTGAACTTTATTTGTTCAATCTATTTTAATTTGACCAGAGAGGGGCAGAGTGAGAAAGAGCAAAAAAGAGGGCGACAGAGAAAGAGGGAAAGTGAGAAAGCAAGTCACTGGGTCCAGGACTCAAACTGGGGTCGGCCATGTGGGAGTCCAGCACTCTTAACCACTACGCCACCTGACAGTGGCAATAAAGAATTCTTAAAAAAATAAATCGCCTTACTTGGGGACTAGCATGGTTGCATTGCTGGACTCCCACATAGTCAATTATGGTTCAAGTCCTGTCCCCGGTGGCTTAAAACTCACGCTAAGCAAAAATCTCTCTAAAAACAAACAAAAACAACCCTTACTTGTGACTGCCTGATTGAAGAAATTCTGTGTCTAAGACAATTTTTAAATAATTTTCCTTAAAAACTTACTTTTCTTTTAAGAGAGAGATTTTTGTAATAGGGCAGGTGCGCTTGTCAGAGAGACAGAAAATGAGAAATCATGAGGCCAGCAGGTGGCATGGTGGTTAATGAGTTAAGGGTGCTGGACTCTCACATGGCTGACTGAGGTTTGAGTCCTGGACCTGGCGACCTGTTTTCTCATTTTCTCTCTCTCTTGCTCTCTCCACTTCCCTCTGGTCAAATAAAAATAAATAAATAAATAGTTAGGGAAAATAATTCTTTAAAAAAGGAAAGAAAGAAAAGTGAGAAATCACTCCTCAGGGTGGATGGCCATCCCACAATCCCTTCTCCTTCATTCTCCTCTCAGGATTTTGGGTACACATGCACATGCGCCCGGCAGGAGGTTTAAGCTGCCAGGCCCAGGACTTACATTGTGATCAACTACTGGGAGTCCGGCGATGTAACCATTAAGCCACCTGCTGGTCCTCTCCCCCAGTTTTGTTGTTGTTAGAGAGCACATACGCTCTCCAGAGATAGAGAGGGTAAAAAGGACAGCACTGCCCAATGGGTGTGGTCATGCTGAAGCCTCCTCAACATTTCTCCATCCCGTTGGGTTTGGGGCACACACACCTGGCGCATTTCTTCAGCTCCAGGAGCCCGGATTTGAATCTCAGGTTTGGTCATGTGAAGTCTGGCTCCAACAATAATTTGAAAGGGAAAGTCATCCACAGTTCACTTCTCAAACATGGTATGTTTCACAGCCCTCTTAAGAAAAGGCCCACTTGGAACCATCTTCCTAAAACCCTGGTGCTTTCCTTTCATCCTCCGTGCACGTAGACAACAGCTACCCCAGTTTTCTGTGAGCACTGCGATGTTTCAAGTCACTGAATCCCAAATACATTTTCTTCCACAGGAAGATGGTTTTTCATCATTCTTCAGTGACTTTTCAGATCTTGGGTGTGGCCCCACGCACAACCGCATGCCACCTTCCAGTCCCGGCGGGCTGTTCTTGCTGCTCTTTACTAGGTTTTGCCTCCACCCGAACCCGGAGATGCGTGTATCTGCTTGTCTCTCAGCTGTTCGAGGCAGACCCTGTCCATGGCTTTGCCTGCATTCCCATGTAAGCATCTTGCACTGTGCTGTGCCCAGAATGCAGCCACCATCAGCCTTCCGTCAGATGTTCCTTCGACATCTCTGAGCCTGCAATTTGGTAATTTGGGGTCACTATTAAGGTGCGTTGTTACAAAACAATTTCGTGTTTTGGTTCCCTTCGTGTGGGATTATGCTACTGGCCTCCTAACAGAGCTACTCCGACACTAATGTCTGAACCCCAGGTTTTCTACTCCTTTTGGCATTCAGATTGAGGACCAGCCAGTTGGCAAGGTGACTGACAGACCTAACTGCAGTGCTGGAAGATACATTCTGACTGCGGGGTCAGATCCCCAGGTGGGCTTGAAAACAGCTGGGTGGGTGCACGGATGCCCAGGGTCCTGACGAGGTGGAAGACCAGGGAGAGGAGATTGTGACCTGGCAAGACCTGGAAATGCTTTTCCTCTCTCTCTGTCTCATGCATGTGCATGCGTACCATGAATCAAATGAGCTGTTTAGGGGACATAGGTGGAGAAGGTAGGGACCAGCAGTTAGGGTAATGGCTATGTCACTGGACTCCCATGTAGTCGACTGCAATTCAAGTCCTGGACCCGGAGGCTTAAACTCACACCAGGCGCGTGTGCATGCATGCTCAAGATCCTCAGAGGAGAACGGAGAAGGGATTACGGCACAGCCATCCCTCCTGGGGGGTGATTTCTCCCTTTCTGTCTGTCTCCCTGACGAGCGCACCCACCCTATAGCAAAAACCTCTCCAAAAACAAAAAAAAAGTGGAGGAGGTGAAGACAGCCGCAGCCAGGGTGGAGGTCCTGGGGATCTGGTGGCTCGAAAGGGCACCCCGGAACATGGTGGCACTGGGTGCATGGACAGCCTCCCACGGACCAAGGGCACATTCCCAGGGAATATCCTAAGGTCCCAGAAGAAAGGCCACTGCCAGGAAGTATAATATGTGTGTGGGAGACTATGAGCCCTGCTCGGATGATGGCATGAGATATGGCGACTACCTGACGCTCCCTGACAGCTCACAGCAGGAGCGGGATCCATGGAATGACTGGGACCACGCAGACCTGAGGTTGAACTGGGGCGAACCGATACACTGGGACCTAGACATGTATGTCTGAAACTGTGTGAACGCATCCCCTACACCTGTTTCTTGGAATGTCATGTGTAAGCACCTCTTCGGCTCTGTGGCCTTCAGGATGTTCATGTTCCGGGTGGGGGAGAATGACCCCTCCTACCTGCCCGTGGGGCCAACGCAGTACCTTACAATGACCTGTACCAGGAAGGAGGCGGCAATCCCACCAAAGAACCTGAGCCAGTGGTTACTATGAGATCTGAGGAGGCTTCCAGGGCTTTTGTACCCTTTGCGATCTTCTCCTCCTAGTGATTTAACTTCAATCCCTAATAAAACTTAGTGCTGGGGTGGGGGCAGGGGAAGAGAATGAGACTAGCTGGTGGCTCGGTGGTTGCGGCAGCTGGATCCCACATGGTCAGACTGAAGTTCAAGTCCTGGACCAGGGGCTTGAAGAACACGCTGGGCACGTGTACCCAAAATCCCAAGAGGAGAATGGAGGAGAAGGGATTGTTGCATGATCATGCCCTCTGGGGTTGCTTTTTCACTTTCCCTCTCTCTCTCTCTCTCTCTCTCTCTGTGTCTAGTGACTGCACGCACCCTATACCAAATTAAAAAAAAAAAAAAGGTTGAGAGTTTTTAACAAGTAAATACCCAAGTTGAATATAAAGAGGGAGAGTTTAGTTTGCAGTTGCTGCTCACAGATGTTGTCTTGCTGGCTTTTTAAGCACATGTGTGTGGACTTCTTAGCTCCTGGCCCCATTTTCCCAGCTCTTTTGTCCTCCTCAGGTCTAAAATTCTACAGAATGAATATTCTAAGACTATTTAAGTCAGAGCTACTTTAATAGCCAAACTATATATTATATATATATGTACATATATGTATATATACATATATGTACGTATATACACATATATATGTACTATATATATAATATATATAGTGCAATGTGGAAAAAGATCAAATTATTCACCCTAACAGTCTTTTTATAAAATTATTTCAAAGTGCAGAAATCTCCCCCAAACAAATTTTAACACACAAGTAATTTTAACTTTAAAAACAAATAAAAAATAAGTTTAGGAGAAAACTATGTTGGATATAGACTTTTTTTTTTTTTTTTGGCACCCTATACCAAATTAAAAAAAAAAAAAAGGTTGAGAGTTTTTAACAAGTAAATACCCAAGTTGAAAATAAAGAGGGAGAGTTTAGTTTGCAGTTGCTGCTCACAGATGTTGTCTTGCTGGCTTTTTAAGCACATGTGTGTGGACTTCTTAGCTCCTGGCCCCATTTTCCCAGCTCTTTTGTCCTCCTCAGGTCTAAAATTCTACAGAATGAATATTCTAAGACTATTTAAGTCAGAGCTACTTTAATAGCCAAACTATATATTATATATATATGTACATATATGTATATATACATATATGTACGTATATACACATATATATGTACTATATATATAATATATATAGTGCAATGTGGAAAAAGATCAAATTATTCACCCTAACAGTCTTTTTATAA